GGGGCTGGCTGGCATGTGGTGCTGGGGGATTGAACCGTGGTCCCTGATGCTTTGCTAAGCTTGTTCTAAGTAGGTGCTCTAGACCACTGAGCCATCTCTCCAGACCTTCAGCACCTTCTGTATACTACAAACTACTACTTGACACAAAAACGGCATTTCACTTAACTTTCCTAAGAAACCTTTAAGGTAGAAGGTTAGTCATGTCTTACGCTGATGGAGAAGCTGAGACTCATAAAACATCCAGAATCTTAAATTAGCAAAGAGAGTTTTTACTTGGAGCAGGTATTCAGAGAAGGATTTCTGGAAGAGGTGGTTGTCTGAGCTAGTCCTTGTGACAGGAGTAGAAGTGGTGCAGAGAGAGATGGTCACAGCCTTCCAAGTATGTCATATCTCTTTGGCTTGGTGTGCAGGGCCTGTGACAGTCTTGTGGGGCCTAGTTTCTGAGCTAGGACTCCTGCCACTTCCTCACTCTGTATTAACCACTCAGAATCAAGCATAATTCCCTGAGTATGTGGATAAGGGTATATCAGGTCTCTGGGTCTCTGCCAAGAGGGTCCCTTCTCCACTCTCATCATGTGTCCCTTCATATCCTTGGGCCACTTGGGCCACGTCTCCAGATCAGAACTTGACTGTGGCAAGAGCTCAAAAAATGATCAACGAAAGGCAGATGGAGATGGAGCTGGGGAGAAGACCAGCAGTGAGGGAGAAGACAAGTGAGCAGAAAAGACTTCGTTGGCTTCATTTTCTCCCTGCCCCGCTGGTGCAGAAAGGCTCATTCACAAGTCCAGGCCAAAGTCAGCACAGGCTTTGGTTTCATTGGCTGCAGCCGGTGCACAGATGGGGTGCATTAGAGCTTGACGATTTAAGGAGCTGGGTGAAATGTCTGGCTGTGGGGAGCGAGGGAACTGTGGCAAGTGTTGTACAAAGATTCCTTTATTTTGTTCCACAGCCACCCCCGGCATAAATAATCTATAGATTCTTATGCAGGTCTGCTTAATGGAAAGATCATCGCCCCAGCCCCCGCCCTGGAAAATGGGCCTTTCTTTTCATTTTTTCCTCTTTTCCATTTAAGAAAGTTCAAGGAGAGAATGTCCCTCCTGTTCTCCCCTCTTGACTTAATCTCCTTGGGTTTCAAAATCTGCCCAGTGGGAGCAGGAGCTGGGAAACAGATAGGGACTGGCAGCGGTGCAATTCAGCAGCTCTCTGTGACCTGTGACTGGGGCCTTAGGTCTGAAAGCTTGACATTTGTTGGGGGGATGGGGAGAGACCTGTTTGCCTTCAGTATGGGGAGGAGGACACCAGGGTTCGGACAACTCCTGCCCTAATGTGTGGCTGGCAGGGGCCTGGGAGGAGCCTGGACTTCAGGCCTCCCCAGCAGTGTGGCTGAGCCTGCATGGAAATATGCAGCAAAGTCTGAAACAATCGAGGCCTATATTTGTAGGGTGGTGGAAAGAATTCTGCACTAGGCGGCCTCCTCCCTCCCAGCTGGCTTCCCATCCCTAGCAGCCTCGCTGCCTGCTCTCGAGGCAGGCAGCTCTCCAGCCTCGGAGTCTGTCTCTCCCTCCTCAAGTGGGCAGAGTAGTATCTGCTGTGTTCAGTGGTGTCCGCCCAGGCTGCTAGGGCAAATGGCCATGGCATTGGTGGCTTGTGAGCAAAGGCTAGAAACCCGAGAGGAAGATGTTGGCAAATTTGGCGTCTGGCGAGGGGTCCCCTTCTGGTTCACAGATGGTTTCTTCTCGCTGTGGCTGTACATGGTGGAAGAAGCTGAGGACTTGCTTGCTGGCCTCCTTATAAGGACACTAACCCCACTCATAAGGACTTTAGTTTTGTGGCCTAATAACCTCCCCAAAGTTCCATATCCTAATAATGTCACTTTGGGACCTGGGATTTATTTGTTTTTTTGAGATAAGTTCTCTATGTAACCCAGGCTGGCCTTGAATTTGAGGCAATGGTCCTGCCTCCGCCTCTCAAGTGCTGGGATTACAGGCATCTGCCACTGCACCTGGCTGGAAGTTGGGATTTCAACATGAATCTTTTTTGCGAGGAGCACACATTCAGAGTGCATCAGAAGGCTAGCACTTATGTGTGCGCTTGCCCTGTGCCAGCTCTGTCACGGCCCCATGCAGCAGCACGCCTCACTGGGAAAGGGAACAGAGTTACCTCACTGGGCTGTTGTCAGGCTCAGATGAGATCATGGCTGTGTGGGTGGTTTGCAAATTAAAAGGTTTATGCAAATATGAAGTAATTTGCTTCTCTTGGTTTTACTGTCAAAGAAAAAAAAAGTGGAAGGAAGGGAATACGTTGGAGGGGAGGGTATTGCTCCCACTTCATGCCAAGATGGCTTTGCGCTAGAAGTTGGAGCAGAGGAGCTGGGTGACGCAGGGGCTCGAGCGAGGCATGGAAGGCTGGGGATGTGGAGGTGAGTGGCAGAGCACTGCCCAGCATGCATGCGCAAGGCCCTGGGTTCAGTTCCCAACACACGAAACACACACAGGAGCACAAAAGGTGGTTGTGTCTGTAGATGGAAAAGGTGACAGTCTTTGCTCAGTAGAAGTGGGGGGACCTTTGAATTGATCATGGAGCTATCTGGGGAATGTGCTGAGGCGTCCTGCAATTTCTGTCTTAGGGGGTGTTATGGTCTAAGTGCTGGAGTGTTTGCATGCAGAAATAGTTTGAGTTGGCACAAGGAATTGCTCACACTGATGTTTCTTTCTTTATGGTGCCAGCCCCAGAATAAAAATATGCTTTGATCCAACTGAAGCTATTATTATTTTATAACCAGTTTGTTGCCTTGTGTGAGAATAATCTAAATCAGTGGTACCAGCTCTTAGGGAACGCTGAGCCCTAGTCAAGCCTTTGTGTGATGGTGTCTAGGGTCCTTCCCTTGCCACCAACCCTGGGCAGTGGAGTAGTCATTTGGGAGTAGCAAATGAATTAGTCTGTTACAAGCCCACTCTAGGGACTTGAGACTTCATCCCAAGGCACAGATGGCTCTGTGCTCTTGATCCTTGAGGAAAGTCA